GGGTGACAGCTCACCACCCATTGCATATGTTCCTGATCAGGACCTGGAGTAATAGGGTGCTGTAGCAACTGACAGCAGGTCGGCTGGTATCACCGACACCAACTGAACCGATAAGAACGTATGTTGCAAGCACACCATGGATTCACAGTCCAAATGTTTTATTGCAATAGTCATCAACAGTGTCAGTACAATATTTCAGGGCCACACATCCTAGGAGCACCATTTGGACGCAGTTGTCGTCCCATAACAGGAAGAACCTACGTAGCAGGATCACCAGGTATTCTGTTAATGACAGCTGCAGATTGGAAAGTTTTGAAAGTGACTTGACATTCTCATAATGTTTGAAAGGTTCTATAAGATTTCTTGGTTGAGTTTAGATCTGCTTTGAAAGAACCCTTAACAAGGAAGAAGAGTGTAAATGCTTTTTATTGTACATACAGATTAGATCAGATGGATGTTCATCACATGCTGTCCATAAAAGTTATTTTATTTGTAGTCCCACTGATCCAGAAAATCAATACTGTAGTTATTGGACATTGCGTGTGGGACCTTTAACCTTTTACTTTTGCTATGACTCTGCAATCAGCAAAGTTCCTGCTCCCTTCTGATTGGAGAGTTCTAGCTCTGAATTATTCAGGGGCGTGTCAGACCTCTGCAGGGAGACCACTGCTTTCACACAGAGAGCAAGGGTACTTCTTTGTAGCATGCTGTCAGGGAACAGGCTTTTCTACTCAGGCTGTGGCTGCTTTTTTCAAAGAAAATAAACTGTAAGGACTTTGCACACCTTTTATTTTTATGTGTCTGGAATGTATTTGGCTGATGTAATCTGAAAGTTCAAATGGGCTTTAAGTGATGCTAAACTCATGAGTTAAATCTTAAAAATACATTCAAGTACCGTAACTATTAACAAAACTGTATCTTATTTATGTATCACTCAGCAGTAGATCTTCAAATCATCTCTGAATTGGTGCTGACACTGTCCTTCCTTCTGGAGGGTGGCTACTTTTGTTCCATAATGGTCCCTGGGTGTGTTGTAAAGTAGTCATCACTCCAAACTCACTACTGTGATGGACTACAATCTCACTTAAGTTTAATATTTGTATTGAATTTGTAGTCCATCACAGGAGTGAGCTTGGAAGGGTGGCTACTTTACAACACACACAGGGACACTGGGGAACAAAAGTAGCCCCCCTCCAGAAGGAAGGACACTGTCAGCACCAATTCAGAGATGATATGAGGATCCACAGCCGAGTCATACACAGATAGGATAATTTTTTGTTAATAGTTAAAAGAGAACTATAAGGTGAGTGATTTCCGCTCATCCTCATAGTTAGAGCTGACCTGTGACAAAGAAGCTGTCATAAGTCGGCTCTGTTGATCGGGAAGTGAGTGAACACATACTGTCGCTCGCTCACTTTCCGATCATCTCCCTGCAGAGAGCTGTGTCTGACAGTCACGGCTCTCTGCAGGGATTCCCACCTCCCCTCTCCGATCCTCCAGCGCTGAGTGGAGGAATGGGGAGGGAGCGCGCACAGCTGGCTCTGCCTCTAGACAGGCAGATCCCGCTGTCACTTATGCAGCTCGGTGGATCTAGACAGTGGATCCCGCTATATACTGAACTTTGGGTCATGTATGGAGGTTTGTTTATGTCCTTCCGTGACCCTAAAGAGAACTATGGGAAAAACACTTACCCCAATAGTTCTCTTTTAATGTACTTTAAATGTATTTTTAAGATTTAACTCCGGTGTTTAGTGTCGCTTTAAGATGAGTGATAACATACAAATCTGATTCCTCCAGACATAGTCACCTGCTATAGATGTGTCTAATAACAATTTGGACTGTTGAATTTGATCTTTTAACTATAAAGAGGTTTAAGAGAGCATGATGTGATAAAGTAATAGAATGGAAAGCCAGTTTAAGAATGCAAGTGGTGATCCGAGAAGAAGATTACGAGTATTGCAATTACTGGACTTCCGTCCAGATCCCAAGGCTACTCCAAGCCGCCCTTCATTACAATCTAGTTAGAGATATTGGATGATACTGTTACGGCAATTCTCAGTCCGCACTGTAGACTCATCGGAATCTGACATTTACCCAGCGTAACGCTGCCCAGCTGTGCTAATATTAATGGAGTTTATTGAATAAAGGATGATGGGATAACGCCTAATTCAAAGATAATTTGGATCTCATATCCATTTAAATCCTTCTAAATTAAGGCCAGGATTGTCATACAGCAGCTAAAGTGGAATGCAACTCTGTAATTAAAATAACTTCCACTGCCTTTAACTCTTCGAGACTTAGTTTTGTAATTAGGTCAGATTTGGGAATTGCAGTGCGTATTGGTGGACCGGGTTGTTATTGTAGGACTTGAACCTAATTGTTGCTTTTCATCAAGGTCATTACTAGAGCATGTGGAGTATAGCATGTTCATTCTGCAAAAGGGAATTTTCACTTAGTTTAATGAAGGTGTCAAAGCTGTGTTCACTTTTTGAATACCCAATCATGTGGAAGGAAAATAAAGAAAAAAACAAAACTGTATTTTTGCTCAGACATGATTGGATGATTGAAGTCCGCACCTACTTCACTAAGCTAAGTGAAATTTCACTTTGCTAAGTAAACAGCCTATAGCCCTTTAGTAAATCAGTCAGTCTACAGTATTTTTTAAATTTCTATGTGTATTTTTAGGAACTATAATTGAAAAAAATAATATTCATCAAGGAGTTATGTCCAGTTAATCCAAACAAGATAAATCGTTAAAATTTGGGTGGATGTTGACCCTAAAGACATTGGAAAGCTGTACACTGCATAAAGCTGTATAAAGATGTAAGCTGTAAAAATACTATATAATAATAATAACCCAATCTGGCCATCTACAGATGTCAGCGGGTACAACCTGCAGGACAAACCTGAAGACTAAAGTCTGTGGCACACTGCATGCGAAGCCGTGCAGACCGAAGCAAAGCTGTCAGGCACGGAGCTCCGCATGCGGTGTGTGAGCTGAGTGCAGCCAGATAAATGACTGCATCTTCAGCCAATCGGCTCACACGTAACAACCGGATGGATTTTGCATCGTGACGCGCAGATTTATATATGCGATTCGATTGGCTGAAGATAAAAGTTTTCATCTCAGCACACTCCGCTATGTGAACTCTCGCAAGCTGACGTGCCAGGGGGAAAATGAAGTGACACACTGCACGCGATGGCACAGCTTTTAGATCACCCAAGTGTACATGGCTGTGTTATGGAGAAGAGAAGATGGGAGGCAGACACAACTGAAGGAAAACAGTAGCAAACTGAACAAGTTTTCTAATATGTCTGATTTATTATTTCCTTAGCCGCTCTGGGCTGTGGTGTTCACCCAGCCCCATAGACAGATCTAGATCTAGTTTAAGATCTTCTCCTTTAAATGTTCTCCAAACTGCACCCCAATGGCATGAAATGAATCGCTGAACTTTCATTTCTGCCCCTATATTCTTCATAGCAAATCATCACTTAAAGTTGGCATGAACTCAAAAAGCGAGGATTTGCTATCTTATAGGGAACATCAATAAATGATAATCGTGCCTAATTAGTAACCTGAAAATGTACTCTCTGTGTTGATTTTCTCCTGAAAATAGCAGTGCCAAAAATGGCAAGCAAAGCGACTAGTCAGCAGTAAAGCTAGTGCTCTTTCTTCAGCTGATCTATTCCTCAATACTGATTTACCATGCATGGTTTTGCACCGTTTCTCTGTGTGAAGTTGACCATATTGGTAGAGGCTCAGCTTTGCTTCCTCATGTCAGATCTGCCCCACTAATGACTGGCGGAGGAATATTCAGAAAGCAGCAGGAGAGGTGCAGAAAGCACAGATCCACAGAATGAATGAAGCATAAGCAGGGAGATGCTTGCACTGCAGGTCCTCGGGTATAGCTTCCTCTCCAGCAAAGGAGAACAGTGAGCAGTACAGTAATTACATCACTACAAATATTGTAAGACCAACAGTCAGAGGCAGCAGTGCTTAGATGATCTCTCAATGCAGCTTTACAGTTGTAAGGGTATAGAACAGGAGCACCTAGGCACAGGAAGTACACTGCAATTTTTTTCTTTTAGGGTAATTATATGGCACACATAGCATCTCAAGATGTTACTCGTAAGATAGCAGATCTTCACTTTTTAAGTTTAGGCCCACTTTGAGTACTTAGCAGTTCTTGATTTGTTAACAATTCAATGTTTGTGTTATGTTTGTTTAATATGTATTTGTTCTGTTTATATCTTTTACTTTTTTTTTAATTATTCGATTTTATTAGTATTTTATACAGTACAACGTATCTGATTTACATTTACCTTATTAGTATTGCCTAAAGACGTTAGATATCTCAGTTGTTGTATTTACCATCACGTCCTGTTTGGTTTTTATTTTGGCCACGAAGTTCGTCTTTTGTCGGTCTTTCAGTAGCCTGGCTAGAGATTTCAACATGTCCTAAGTGGGCATACTTCACTGTAATAGCTTGTCATGTGTTGCGTTATGCTCTATTTTTTTTTAAGCGCAATGTATGGCAACTCAATGCAGTCGTGTGAACTGTCCCATATACACCCATTCATTGTTTGTTGCCCTTGTATTACTCTCTGTTAAAAAATGGATTTAATATGTTGTTAATTATGTATTTGTTATACAATGCAACAAATCTGGTGTGCATGGGGCCTTAACCTACTTAAAAGAGGAACTTCACCCTACCTAGTCAAAATAACATTTCTAATCACGAACACTTGTTCCTGTGTGAAAATAAAAAAAGCATGCCTTGAAGGCAAAGTTTTTCTTACCCTGCTCAGCTCCCATGACGCCATCTTGAAATGAGATCCGCCACATGTGCGGACATGCTGCAGGGATTTCAGACCTGGCGGAGCGTTTGTGCATGTGCTGGATCCCCCCACACATGGCCGGATAATGTGTGTGCAGACATACTGCACACACATTATCATGCAGATCTCTGCCAAAGACCCGCGGCAGATCTCTGCCAAAGACCCGCGGTGTGTGTGTGTGCGCAAATTGACTCTATGACTTAGACATCCCAGGAAGTAGTAGGTAGCTGGATTTGTCATACTCACCTAGGCGAGGATTCAGTAAGGGAAAGTGTAAAAAATGAAATAAAGATATTTAGTGTGTATAAAAATACATTGTAGAAGAGGCATGTGAGAGGATGTTATTTTTATCGGTGAAAGACCGCTTTAGCCTTTAATACCCAAGAGGTATTTTTGTTAAATAGAAAAGTTCTATAATTCCAGGGCAAGGGGTTCCTCCGCATCCAGTTCTCAGGTGACAGAAAGTGTAATTATTTATTCGTGTAATTAATTAGTGGTTAATTAGGACAATTCCTTTAAGTTAATCGCTAAGGTGCGATTGTGTAAAAGCCTTTTTTATGTCGGCGCGGACTACCAGACGTCAGCAGTGGCTAAATGCCAGCATATAAATGATTTCAGGCTTAATAAGGATATTCAGAGACTACGGTAAATGGATGATATGAGAGATGTTAGGAGCAGTCTGTAAATTAATACACTTTGATGTTTATAACTCTGGGGAGTATAAATCTCTCATCAATGTAAGCGTATTTCATGGAACCCCTGACACAAGGTAATGCTAGAATCCAGTGTGCACATAATGGCAGTCCTCTGCTCTTTGATGGTGAGGCATTGTGTGTGACAGAAGGATTTGCTTTATTAAGTTTTGCCTTTTTAATGGTAGGCACAGGGCTGTATTTACTATAAGGCACTGATATCATTTGTAATTGACTTTTCATTCCTCTTTTTATTGTCTGCAAATTTCTAGATACTTGTGGGTGAATTCAGACTTCTTTTGAATGGGAAGCCTGCTGAGAAGAGTCACAAGACTCCCTGTAGCTAAATGCTTGCTGATCTTTGTACACACTTAGCGGATGGATAAGCCCATGTTCTCATCACATGCACTTGAAAATGCATATGTTAAGACAAATTGCATTAACATGCGGCAGGCATTTTCAAAGGCTTCAATTATAAAAGTTCCACCCAGTGTGCAATTAGGTGGAAACCGGATTGTGCTGAGGATTATAAGAATTTCCTGTACACGTCGGCACCCTGTAGGGACACTAATGTCGTGCACCAAGGGTTTGGCCAATCTTGGTACAAAATTTGGCAAATTCCAACTTAGATGTGAATCCTATTGAAGTCCCATTACTCATTCATGTAGGGGAAGGGGGGTATCTGGGGTCTGGGCCCCCCCTTATTTTTAAAGGGGGCTTCTAAATTCGGATAAGACCCCAAGCCTACAGATTCCCACAACCACTGTCCAAGGTATTTTGCCAGGTAAAAGTATCCTCACCATATAGAGGGCATGTGAGCTGGTGTGGTTTGGGCAGGATTAGGGGGTGCACGCTTGTTCCCTCCCCCTGTTTTTCTGGCCAGGGAAACCCTTCTTTTTTTTCCCCTTTACAAACAGAAGGAAGGGCTTGGAGTTATATTTTCCTTTTTTCTCTTTTGTAATATGCTTTGCTTTAGTAGGTTGTATACATTGTACAGCTTCAGGACATCCCCCAAGCTAGTTATATAATGGAACCGGGCATGTTTAATGTTGCCGTTTAGCACTATTATTGCTGGTAGGTCTTTTATCAAATTACAGGACTAGTTGGGCAGAAATACAAAAACTTAATTGAGAATTCCAACTCAGTGAAATGCTTTTTAGAACTGGTAATGGTTTTTAGAAGTGTGTGCCTTTTGAAAAGATTTCTGCTCACTTCCTACCCTGGAGACTAGTGTTCCTTTCTGTGCAGAAAAAAAATGGCTGCTCTAGGGGCGAAAATAAAGAAGAAATACTCACTGATCCTCGGTCCTGCGGCAGTGACCTCTCACCTCTCTCTCCGTCCACTCTGGCTGTTGAATGTACCTCGGTGTCTTCACATCTAATAGACCTGTATTAGATGTGATGACGTCATGGATCCTTAGACAGCCAGAGGTCGGGGGAGAAGTAGGCAGGCTCAATATAATGCAGCTCACAGCACTGCGGGGGAAGCTACCGACAGCTTCACTTAACTGTTGCCATCCTCAGCTTTACATACTCACTTTCCTTCATTCCAACGGAGGTTCAGCCACTGGGAGTGAAGCGGAATACCTTTTAATTCTGGGTACAGGGAGCGTTAAACTCATTGTCCGTCCTGCCATGTGACATTGTTGGTGTTGGATGATTGATCATGAAGGATGCAATTTTGTTTCATGTAGCAATTTCTAAATGCCATATTTCCATTGATTTATTTAGGGAATTGGGTCTTTGAAGCCGCCTGTCCAGGATGGGGAGGATTTAAAGAAGAACTCCAGGCAATCCAAAAGTTAACCCTTGCAGTGGAGCTGCCCTCACACCACAAGGATTTACTGCTTACTTTAGTCTAGGGGCTAAAATTAAAAAAATATACTCCCCTAATCCTTGGTCCTGCCTGTCTGCTAGACTGGTCCTTGCACCCTCTTCTCCCCTGGGCTTTGACGGTCTAATGACCCATGACATCATCATGTCTATTGCAGCTGCATTAGGCATGAGGACGCCGAGGAACATTTCACCACCAGAGCTGAGGGGAAGAGAGGTGAGCGGTCACCGCCCCAGGACCAAGGATCCGGTGAGTATATTTTCTTTATTTTAGCCCCCTAGAGCAAATTGTGCAGTTAAATACATTTTGTAATATTGGCTTACAGTGATTCAGGTTATGAAACCATTTGAACTGCAACCTCAGAATAATCAGAATCAAATGTTTTTCTTGGCAGACACAAAATGGGTAAACAGAACAGCAAACTCGCCCCTGAGGTGATGGAAGATCTGGTGAAGAGCACAGAGTTTAATGAACATGAACTCAAACAGTGGTATAAAGGCTTCCTAAAGGACTGCCCAACTGGCCGGCTGAACCTGGATGAGTTCCAGCAGCTCTATGTAAAGGTAGGTTACTGCTTACTTAATTCCTTTCCATCTTCGTTGCCATCTCAAACACTCAAACTGAAACCCAAATTGTTATATGCAAGTGGCTCAGAAGGTCACTTGTTCCCAGTCTTCTTTTAACATACCAGTCCACCTAGATGTGATGTTTTAGATATGGTTAATTACTGCTTGGCTAATTTAGCTCCTGGCTTCCTTTATGTCTTGGATACTTCAATAGTGAGAACTCCCTGTAATAGGTCTTGACTTGACTTTTGGGTGTTCCCGTGCACCTTTGTGTGTTCCAGCACCTCCCTATAGTATAACATATGTACAAAATCCAACAGGGAGAATGGGAACTTCCTATAATGATCGCAGTTGGTGTGCAGACCCGGGATCTCAAGTGAAGAGATCTAACCAATGCAGTCCCCAAGAGATATAAGAATTTGCCAGGTGATGTAATTTTCCAGTATCCACCAAACACTGAAATATCAGTTGTGGGTAGACTGACACTTTAATGATACAATCAAATATGAAGTGTATATAAAAATAGATACATGTAAAAGTATGCATGTACTGTACCTAAAGACTAGATGGGTCACAGTGATAGGAAACAGTGGGCCAATTTTATAGAATCAGTGTTCCAGGATGTGCCTTTCAGTGTTTACTAAGGGCCACACCTATGTAATTTTCAGAAGAAGATGACATTTTGGTAATTATGGCAGCATAGTGGCGTAGTGGTTAGCTCTTCTGCCTTGCAGCACTGGGGGTCCCCGGTTTGAATCCTGGCCAGGACTATCTGCATGGAGTTGGCATGTTTTCCCTGTGCCTGTGTGGGTTTCCTCAGGGTATTCCGGTTTCCTTCTACACTCCAAAGACATGCTGGTAGGTTAATTGGCTCCTCTCCAAGTTGGCCCTCTATGTATGCATGTGATATAGGGACCTTAGATTGTAAGCTCCTTGAGGGTAGGGACTGATGTGAATGTGCACTATGTAAAGTGCTGTGTAAATTGTCAGCGCTATATAAATACCTGTAATAAATAAATTACCATTACAGTATTAAACTGCAACTAACAATATGTCTGAAGTTTTCAGATGCAAAGGACATAAGGAGATCCAGCTTTCATTCACTAGAGAACATCATTGGGCCCTACTCAATTTAAATTTCTAGATTGGCTGAGAGCCACAAAGAAGTAGTCAGAGGGCCATATATGCCATATCAAACACTAGTCTTATTTTGTGCCAGCGATCAGCTAAAAAGGGTGGGTGGGTAGGAGGAGGTACTTGTTTTGCCCGGAGATGGGCTTCAAAGCTCAACTCCAGTCACTTATTAAATCGAACCACACTACCACCAGCTAATGAAGGATTTAATGCATGGTTTGTCAGGGATATGATATAACACAAGTATTACATGATTCCATGTTCCTGCATGCTGGTTGTGGTTGTGACAGCCAGTCCCATTAATCTTCTCTTCTTGTTCATCTCCAAATGGTCATGTCACTCCACTCTCCTTGACTGGGTTTGTCACCACCTCTCTTGGTGGCATAGGAGTGCTTTCTCACATTCTGGGCGGGAGAGGAGGACTGTAGTGCTGGCTGTCACAGGACTTTGGAGTAAGGTAAGTTTTACTCTCTTAGACCATGCCCTTGACAAAACAAGCATTAAATCCTCCATTGGGGTGGGGATATAACAACTACCTGGAATTTCCTGATGGCTGTCAGAGCAGATATACCCAGGCACCATAGGTCCACCATTTCTCCCTCTGTCCGGGAATGGGTTGCAGAGGTGCAGCACCTGAAACATATGGGGAGTCCCTGAATTTATTACAGCACCACCGCGCAGAGATGTTAGTCCCACAAACCCAATAGTGGACCCAATTTTATGCTTACTTCCTCTCAAGGGCTATATGTTGCTCTTGCAGTCTACCTACCCCCCTCCCCTACTTTCTCCCTCCTCTTCTACCCACCATGGCTTCTAGTTAGTAGGAAGGACCTTAGGAGCTATGGTGACCTTTGTTGAAGGATGCCATGACTTCACATCAGCGTGACTTCAGCAAACTTTTTAGAAAACTGAACCTCAGGCAGATATACAAAAGATATATATATGATATGCAGTAAGGCAGCTCCGTATTGTTTAATACATCCTTAAATGTATTTGGTTAATTACAAGCCGTGTAAGTACCTGAATTTGGTTTGAAATCAACCTCTTAAATGGAAAAGCTGAGACTGTAAAAGGGAGACACATAACAAGGAGCCAATCAATTGTGCTGCAGAGCAAGAAGGAGAAATCTAATAGGGGGAGAAAAAGCAGAATGAAAAGCTCATCAGTCTGCCGCTTCTCCATTCGCTATTCAATCACAGGCTAAAACAGCTCTTGTATATGTATTTTATGTGTATTTCGCTGTTTGCCGGAAGTTCTCCTTTAAGATTTCATTCTTGCTAGCCTGTGCAGTTGCCAGGGCTGCCATATAGGGGAGCTGACATAACAGCCAAGTTGAATTCAGGTACTTATAATGCTTACATTTTAAAAAAATTACATTTAATGATGTATTCTTGAATACAGAGGTGCATTGATATGTTTCTTTTATATCTACCTGAAGTTCAGTTTTAATACATATAACACAAGTGCATAAAATGTTCCTATTATGAATATGTAGCACAAAAACATCAGAATCCAGATTCCATAGGAGGGAGAGCTGTACCGGCACCACCAGAGATTACAACATAAATCTGTTTGTATAATATGTGATAAATGTTACAAAAAATGTGCAATATATGTGCAAAAAAAGGGGTTATAATGGCAGCACAGGAGTTATGTTCACCGTTTTTTAGTTATGTTGCATTGTACCCACATAATTGTATCTTCTACACATTACTGATCTCTCACATAATGACTGTACATCTCATTTCAAGGATCTTGCCACATTTTTCTGGCCTCGCATGAGACGCTTGTTCCATTTCCGCCCACTTGTGAACTAAATAAAGCTTTAAAGGTGAAGGTCCCTGTGTAAGGTGAACGCAATATTTCCGTCTGTTTCCACTGGTTAATGAATGTTTCAATTATATAGGAAAATCATACTTTATTCTTTTCCAAATGCAGCATTTAGGTCTCCATATAAAGTGAGCTTGTGTCAGGTGGCCATTATGCAGTCCGTGTACCCATCGCACTCAGAACCGCTGCTCCATGAGATAAGAAGTGGGTGCAGCAGGTGTCAACAGGTGGCTTCCGTCAAAGTATAAATAATGGATGGACACTGGCACTCCAAAGCAAATCCAGTACGTCTGTTTATTCACGTACTTGTTGCAAATGCAAAACACAATATACAACGTTTCGGGGTCTCACAGGATCCCCTTCATCAGGCAAACAAGTGAGCCATTACGGACTCCAATGATCATCTCTCTGCTGGGCTCTGAGGCTTCCTCGCTGGATAGTGGGATGGTAGGGTGGGCACGTCAAAGCTGGGGTTGATTTCAGGAAAGTGAGCACCATGTTTTCAGGGCTACCTGAGTGCATACAAAAACAAACATGCGGGCACTAGTATATGTAGGCACTAGTGATTATCAGTATAAATAACAGGACAATTTCCGTCTACAGGATTCAAATTCATTTAATATGCGCATAGTGTGAATATTAGAGGTTAGTCTAGAAAGGACAGAGCAGAGGAATAGTATACATGTAGGGATGGAGTCTCCCTGGCAGAGCTTGGTTGTGAGTTTCGGAAAGTCTTACATTTAAGTCAAGAAAGCTCTGCATCCTAATTTGAACTTTACACTAAACTTTATATTTGTAATTGTGGTGGTGTTGGGCAAAGTTTGACACCCTATTGTGCATTTATTGCTTTTTTGAGATATCTCACTTTACTCCAGTCCTGCACTGGCAGCCAGGGGTTCAGGGGGGGGGGGGGCTAACTTCCTAGTTGCTCTCTCTGTAGTGCATTGGTCGATCAACAGGGTACTAAGGTGCAGTGATACCAGCATTATGACGTCACAGACCTTCTAGTGGATTCTGCATAGATCCAGAATGAACCAAGGATGTTCAGCATCCAGAAGATGGATGGCTATCATGGGTATGATAGGGGAGATCTCCATACCATCCTAGTTCTGTCAAAGAAAGTACATTAGACGAGTCGCCCTTTAAGCATTGTTCACATTTTAGTGCAGTAAAATCCACTAATAAAAAACTATCTGTTGCATTTTTGGTGCAGTTTCCATAAAGGGGATGACTGCAGGTGGTAGAAGCTGATTACCTGCTAATAAATGATTAAGGTAAAGAGACAAAAGAATAGGCAATTTTTGAGGAGGTCGGTTGAATGGACTGGCAAAAGTGGACATGATCTCCAGATATTTTATCTTACAGGGAACATTTAGAGATGCTAACAGTACCTAAGAAGTACCCTAAAAATGCACCTTTTGGGTTGAATTTCTTCTGAAAATAGCATTGCACTTCCCAGCTTGGCAGTCATGTTCTGTAGCCTAATAGCTATAAATCTGCAGTGTGAGATCACCTAAGGCTGCCTCTGATTTCTAATATCATGGGATTTCAAGAGAGATTACACTACTGTGCTGCATATTGTTCTTCTAGCTGGAAAGGAAGCTGTACCTAAGGACCCACAGTGCAAGGAACTCCCTGCTTCTACTTTATTAATTCTGTGGATCTGTGCTTCCTCCTCCTTTCCTTCTGTTTTTAGATCTTTTCCCCACCAGTCATCAGACCAATAGCTATTAAGGGGACAAGCCTGATAAAAGGCAGAATTTCCCTGCCTTTACCAAGATAGCAACCTCCACACAGAGAAACAGTGTGGAACGAGGCATGGTAAGTCATTTATGGGAAACGCTGCAGGGAGCCTACAAGCAATACTGGTGACTAGTCCGTGGTCCTCTGCTTGTCTTTTTTAAGCAAAGCTTCCACAGTGCAAGGCACTTTTAAAGGTGGGGGCTAGAATGATTTAAAAAAAAGAAAATTACAGATAATGGTGGCTGCTTGAAAAGCATAGTGTAGTTGTTTGGAATGAGTTACATTGGTAG